GTCAAAGCCCTTGAGCAAGGCACTTAGTGACCTTTACGTTCTTAGCAGCCCATATCTCTGTATTATAAAATTGACCTGATTTATAGTGTATGTCCAGTTATGCACGGTGGTGTGGAGTGAAATGTCACTGGGACAGAGACACCACCAGAAACAGATTTTCTTCTTGAAGGGTATGGATAACATAATTAACAATATGTACAAATTCAGCAACATTTCAGTAATTCTGTATTTATTTGTTCATATCTTTTTTCAGGATCAGAATCAGAATCAGGTTTATTGTAAGTAAGTTTTCGCATACGACGAATTTGCCTCAGTACATTGGTGTATAGAAATCACAATTAAGCTAGAAAAATATAAATAAAGATAAAAATATAAAAAATTGACGGAATAGATGTACAAAATGGCTGGATACTTTAATAAATTAGTTTATTTAGTTATGTATTTATACATGTATTTACACACAGAAATAAATGAATACAAAAATAAATACATGTAAAAACAGAATAAATAAAAAATGATTATTGTGTCATTTGAACACCAGAAGAACATTTGCTTTTTTACCCCCAGAAATGTTGGTCCCATTTAAATGTCTGGGTTAACTGTAAAATCAAAAACCTTTAGACTGAGGGTTGCTTTTCAAGAACAGTAATGTTGAATTTCTCTTGAACAGTTTAATAAAGTTAAAGGATGTTTTAGAATTACATCTCTTTTTAAATGCAGTTAAATAATAAAGTTAAAAAATTGAATGCCAGTCTGAACCAGGATAATATTATACAACCATTTCTTTTACATAGTTACATGCACATACTCATCAGAATCAGATTTATTGCCAACTATGTTTTTACACCTACGAGGAATTAGTCTTGGTGCATTGGTGCATACAATATACAAATCACACAAAACACCAAAATCACACACATACTACTACTACTACTCTATATCAGTGTGTTTGTCATCAAAATGTGATCTATTCTGTACACAGGACATCTTTTGCATGTCTGTCCTTGTTGAATGGGTTTTTCGGGGGACTTTTTCATTATCTGAATGGATGGTCTAACAACAGAGGGCACAGAGTTTGTTTTATGCTGTACAGATTGTAAAGTCCCTTGGGGGAAATTGTGATTTGCAGAGGTGTGGACTCGAGTCACATGATTTGACAAATTTGATGACTCAACTTGACAAAATGAATGACTTGCAACTTGGACTTTAACACCAATGACTTATGCCTTTACCTGTGCTTGAGCCTTTTGACATAACTACTTAATACCTTCCACCAAACCCGCAGATTAGAAAGTGTGCCAGGAATATATTAATTTCCCAAATCAACTAATGTTAACGTTATTTATTCCCAGCATGTTGACAGGTAGTTCCCCAGATCCACTTGTTTGATCCAATCCGACAGCATCCAATCAAGTTGCCGAACCATAAAGAACTACTGTTACATTACTGAGAAAAATATAATTTTGTTTTTTTTATACTGTTGGTAAAAAGCATTTAGTGATGACTACATTAGGACTTGTTTAGGATTCAAAACTCAAGTCTTGAGTGCAAAGACTTGAGACTTACTTGTTACTTGCAAAACAATGACTTGGCCTCACGTCTGGTGATTTGTGATTCTGAGCATACTGACATACTCAATATCTCATGTCTGATGTAGACTGATGTAAAGTCCAGTAGATAATGTCAGTTGACTTAAAGTGACACAACAAAGTTATGAACAGGTCAGTATTCAATAGGCTACTACCAAGATATCTGTGACTTGTAGTAAATGTGAACACATACTGCCATTTGCAGAAAGGTACTTTCCGTCTTATATTTAGGCCAGCTGCAGGATAAAATGAACGGTTCAGTGAAAGTAAGAACCTTGGACTGAAAAAAGACATGGTTTATATAGGCCCTAAACACATCCAGTTACAATATACATACTGCTAGTTGTCATGTGTCATAATTAACACCTTTATTTACAATGCAACTCTTGGCAGGCTTCCATACCAGCTTTGTGTTCATCATGTGGAAAAGTCCTGACAGTACTTTTAGCAGTCACAGCCTTGTTAGCTTTTAAGCCTAAATGCCTGAGCCTGTTTTGGAAAGAAAGGGCATTAGAGGGTAACAGAAATACAGAAAAAATGCAAAATAATGTTTTAATGCAAAATTTTAAAGTGGGAGGCAAAGTCAGCTGTTACTGTGGTCCTGTTTTGGAAATGTTGTGTTCCCATTGTCTTTTCAAACAATTTCTGTATTTGCACTATCGTCTCTCTTGGCTAGGTATCTTAATGGCAACAGGACTTTCCATGTGAACTGATGAGGTAAGGTGAAATGCCTGCACAGAGCCAAAAGAATACTAAAAGACAGTACCCACCCCAAACACTGCCTGTTCACCCTGCTGACAAGAGGTACAGAAGTATCTGCTGCCATTCACTATAAATACTTTAACTCAGAAACATTGTTGAAACGGATTAAACCAAAGATTTTAAGTAACACAAACTCAATTTATTTTGTAAGTTAAAAAAGATTCTTGATTAAGCACCTTTTAACTAACTAAATTGATTTAGTTTTACTTAATTTTTTTTAATGTTATCCATATCAACAATTTTTTGAGTCAAATTAACTTACCTGATTTTACAGCGTATACCACCAGACCACAGAGCAGCTTCTTCCCTTATCCTGCATTCACACAGATTCAGGCAAATGGT